TGTGCTCAAGGAGTATGAACACCAATACCGCAGCAACTTTGCCCGCGATGCGCTCAAGAAGAGTAACAACCTTGTGGTATGTGATTATTGTCTTTTCATCTCCCTTGTCAATTCCTTTTTTTAAGGCACATAAAATGCTAACGAACGCTTCTTTCAATCTAGGGCGAACTCCTCGCACACATCCTCAACGGCGTCATCAACCGCCCCGTCCGAGACGCCCTCCTCCTGCAACACGCCATCACCGCCTCGCGCAAGGACTCGCTCCGCCGGGAGCTGCTCATCTCGCGCCTCGTCCGCTTCCACTGGGACTCGTTCCACATGCAGGACGTCAAGAGGGCCTACCGCGAGCGTTACGGCATAGACCTGCAGGATGCCGTGCGCGAGGCCACGAGCGGCGAGTGGGGGATGTTTTGCCGCGAGCTGTGCATTGCTCGGATGCCCAATGAGATACGAAGAATGGAGAATACTAGGTAAGTAAAATTGGTAAACCTACAAACTACATTACATATAGATGTATATGTTAGTGAGATGTATGAAATATGATGGTTTCTACTTGATTTAAATTTTGTTCGAACGACACCGGTTTGGGATCGGTATGAGGCTAGGAAACGAATGACATGGCACGATTACGATTGCGTCTTAATTTCCCAAGATATGATGACTATTTATAGCTATATATAGGCATATATAGATATATACTTATACACATATATGCAGGCTTGCTTGACTCTCTTTAAACCATCCATGGATCTCTAGTCTACTTCTTTGATCCTTTGCCCCCTTTGCCTCCCTTTCCTGAACTCTTCCCACCACCTTTGCCCTTCCCACCGCCGCCGCCGCCAGAACCACTTCCTCCGCTGGCTCCAGCCATCATGACTCTCAGCTTGCCAACTGGCACACTGTTGGCAATTTCCTCCGGCTTGAGTCCCTTGATGAGCTCAACCTCCCTGGGCCACATCTTCTCCGAATCCCTCGCCGCCTCGTCAATGACTCCTTTCCTGGCAGAGTCCGTCTTCAGCCGCTCCAACACCTCCTTGATCGCCTTGCCCTTCTTCACAGAGCCCGGCTGCATCTTGACTTTATACTTGTACCGAACCAAGGCGCTCCAAGGCGCACAAACGGGAAGCACTTCCAAAATCTCGTCTCCCGCCAGCGGCGTGCCAACCAACGTGTCCAAGTTCGTCGCCTTCTCCGCCTCATCAGGCTCCCCGGCGTCCAGGCCCTCATTCATCATGGCGCGGCGAATCTCCTCTTGCTCCGCGACTTCCTTCTGCTTCCGCTCGTGCTGAGCCCGCCGGCGCTCCTTTTGGGCTTCCAGCTCGGCCTGGCGCTGGGCTTTCGCGGCGGCTTCTGCTTCGGCCCTTTGTCGTCCAATCGTGGCTCCTATCAGTGCTTCTGCTGTGGCGCGGTCTTCTTCATCCTGGTCTTTGTATTTCTGTGCAATTTTTTTCGCTTTTCCCTTTTGTCCACGTTTCTGGCCTCTTTTCTTTGTGGCCGTCGACGTCCCCGTGGTATATGAAGCAGAATCAGAAGCTTTAGTAGGGGCCTCGGAGACTTCAGTAGCCTGTTCGGAGGGTGTCACCTCGTCTTCCTCGATGTCGTCCTCTTCTTCAACCGTATCTGCCTCTTTTTCTCCCTCCTCTAGCTCCTCTTTGGATGCATCTACGGTCAATGGCTCAGCTTCATCGTTCTCAGGCTCGTCACTGATCTTCACAGCTGACAGCTTGTCTGCTGTGTCGTCTGTGACCTCGTCCTCGTCGCCAGAGCCTTGCAGGGGATTGGCTCGTTTGTCGTCACCAGGCTGATTCTCTTCTGATTCGGCCCCTGAATCATCTGAATCATCAACTTCTTCGGCGGCTTGCACCTCATCTTCGCCTGTGGCAGTCTCAGCGGTTTCCAATGAAGAGCGCTCGTCGTGTACTCGGTGCTTCAAGTGCTTGCTCTTGCTCTGCTCGCTAATCTTGAACGTGAAGCCCAAACCAAGTAAAAGTTGCGTCGGAGGAAGATAGTTCTTCTTTCCTTGAATTGTAAAGCTCCCAGCAGGCAGAATGTCTCCTGTCGGGGTCGATTTAGATACTTGGTCCGCATTCACCCACCATCCGCCCATGCCCGCCTTGGAGTCCCAGGCTTCCGAGGTGCATACTGACAGTGAACCTGCCTGTGACAGAGTTGCCGGAGGAATAGGGGCATCTGGCGTATTTGGGTTATTTTTAATGATAATATGCGCAGCGCCACGGATATCAGCGTGACAGTAAATGTCCCCCTTGCGCAAATACCTTCTGTAGAGGATTTCAGTCTGCTGGGGGTCTTTTCCTCCAAGGACCAAGTACCCATCCGAGGAGATGAACCAAATGAATTTCTCAAACCACATCTGCTTGCGGATGGGCTGTAACAGGGCCTTCTCCTGCTTTAATCCCTTCTTCAAATCTTCTGAAATTTTTTGCTCGGTGCTTTTCAGGGCTTTGTTCGCTTGGAGTTGGGTCTTCTCTTCCTTCATGGCAGCAGACCTTCGCTCTTCGTAGTACTCTCTTGCGTTGCTCCAGGGGCTTATATTGAGAACGATGTCGACGGTGAGAAGCTTGTCGTTTTTCTTATCCTTAGCTTGGGCAACTTCATTCGCCTCTGCTTCAGAATCACTGTCGTCGGTTTCGAAAGGATTATCTTCTTCCGCTTCGTCTTCATCAAACTCTTCTTCTGCGAGGACGAGCGTAATGGTGTTTTCCGCTAGTTTCAGGGGAAGGCTGATAGTCTCAGCAACTGGGTTCTGCCGTTTCTTCTCTCGCTCAATGAGCTTTCCAATATCAACCCAGTCCATGCCTTGAGCGAGAAGGCCATTTACCGCATCCATGGCTTCCTGTACACGCTCCACGTTGGCTTCAATCGCAGCTGCTTTGCGTAGGTTCGTCGCCTGTGCATCCTGCAACCCTTCGATTCGCTTGGACTGTTCGTGCCTGGCTGCTTCAAGCTTCTTCCTGGCAGCTTCTTCTCTCCCAACAAGACGAGATTCTAGCTTCTGGCCCTCTAGAGATGAAAAGAACTCATCGACCGTTCGATTATATCCCTCAAATTCTAATACTTGAATAGACGGGTCATTCTTGAACTTTTGTGGGATAAATGGATGAAAGTCTTCATATAGCAGTCCCTCATGCTTGGAAGCCTCGTCTGTCTCGTCCGTGCCGCTTGAGAGGGTCGTCTTCTTCTTTGCAAAAATGTAGCCCTTGCAGGTTGTAGATGCAACAATGTTTTCAACAATATCACGAGCCTCAGACAAGTGTTTGACCAATTCATCCAGTAGCGACTCATTATCAACCACATCAGCCGGCTTAGCAGAGACATCAAAGTTATTTGCCTGAAGAATATTCTCAACCAGGGCAGGAGGCAGTTCTGTTATAGAAACTGCCAATGCTTTTCGTAGATCGCCACCAGATTTGCCTTTTGCTTTCTTGCCGGAGAAAGTAGCGGCTACTGTGTTTGCTTCGGCCTTGTCGGCGGCAGTCTTAAGGGCATCCCTTATTCGTTCTTTTGTCAAAGGTGGAATCCCACCAAAGTTCTGCCTATTCTCCAGAGAATACTGTAGGCCAACCCCTTGCGGCTCCTGCCCCTCTCCCTCACTGACATTACGAGAAATGGCTAATATCTTCAAGTCGGCATCGGTAAGAATAATGTTTCCACTCTATAACAACACCATTGGTTAGTCTCGTGGAAACATGCTCACAGGAGAGCCAGGATACAGCAGTTAACTTACGGCAAAGAATTCGAGAAACATGCGATATTGGCCATCGCTAAACTGGAACTCGAGGATTCTGTCGGTCCCTACTTGCGCAACGGACGTCAACCGCCTGGTCTTGAGATATTTGCGTAGCCGGGCTACAAAGGCAGACGGTGCCGCCGCAGTTGTTCGGGCAAAGTCGGTCAAGTGGCAACGAAATCCATTGTCGATGAGAAGTTGCTGCTTATTATCCGGTTTGGCGAATTTTAGGAGCAGGATCTTGGAGGAGAGGTCGTAGACATTCGAGAGTCGCAGAGTCACCAAGCTCCCTTGGAGCTCATGCGCAATGACCTAACCCAGGAAGTGGTCAGCAGGCGGTTGGTGACGCTGGTTTGCTCATATAGAGAAGAAGAGGCGAAATCGCAAAGTACCTTGACATCGAGCGACGAAAACCTCTGCTTCATGCTGGTAATTGAGTTTGCGCAGACCCCGAAGCGTATATATTTGAAGCTTGGTGGGAAACTTCAACATTGGTCGCCGTGGGGCACTTTGGCCGCGGGGCAGCTGTGACGACATAAGCATGGGCATCACGTGGCCTGGCATAACGCATAATGGCAAGGAACCAGAGCTGAGATGGGTCAATTGTAAGTAAAGCCAGGGCAATATCCTCATGTCTGGGGAAATAGGTGATTGATTGCTATAGCTAGGACGTAGAATAGTGCACAGGTATGTATAATCTACATGTCGTTGTTAGATGGAGCGTATATGGATCAATTGGTATCTGGTGGGAAGACGCTATTCGCCCATACAAGCGGAATAGATGACAAGCTCAGCATAGCTTTAGCACTGACAGCTACAGCACCTGCTAAGGCATGCAGAACACCAACTGCTGTGCATTGCGCCGGCAGCAGCTGACGCTGATTTGCAGCACATGGAAGCGCTGGAGCTGAAGCCAAGCAGAACCAAAGGACTGGCTGGAAGAAATCGGTCTGAATCTCCGGCTTACGTAGAGCATTTAGTAAAGCATGCAGTCGAGAAATTAGTCTGCAAAAAGGTGAGACACTCTGATACGAGTGAGAGGCACTAGAAGTTGCCCAAAGCGGACATAACAGTCAAAAGAGGAGGCTGGGTTATTAGGGAAGGACCTTTGCAGCCAAATTCCTCGTCGCCTCCTTACAGCAGCGCTCGTAAGCAACGCGCCGACTCAACTAACCGTTGACAAACACACAAGGGCAAAAAATGAGAAGTGAGAATTGAGAAACAGCAGCAAAAAAGCGAGAACAGAAGCAGACGACCACGCCAGGAGTCGAACCTGGAATCTCTAGAGAAGGTGATTCTCTGAAACCGAAATCTAGCGCCTTAGCCATTAGGCCACGCGGCCGCTAATCTTGAGTTGGTGTGACAGCTGCTCCAATGCACTCAACAAGGCTTCACGCTCTTCCGGGCAAACCTCTGGGGAAATCAGCAGCTGAAGCCATTCGACCGAGGCACATGCGGCCACGATTGGACCCGCCGCGTCCATGTCACCAATCCAATCGAAACGCGAAATTGAGCTTCTTCCTCGGTCCACCCGCGATTCGCGAGAACGACGCGTCGCAGCACGGACCTGCTCCCTGCCACCTTGTTGGATGTTCTGGTGCGGTGCTGTCCAAGTGGTACAGATTACAGTACAGGTTGAAACGCTGGCGATATCCTTGTCACCCCCAAGAGGCAGAAGGATCATCTTGGGCAAATGTCGTCCCAGCAACCAGATAATTGAGGTGGAGAGGAGACGGGAAGACAGTCAAGGTCCCCAGCATTTGGCAGCTCCTCGTATGCACGAGACGTCGATGCCCACGAGATCCATGCTGATGTTCAGGACGAATGTACGGGCAAACCAGGGGCGGCCGACAGAGAGAGCTTAAAGGCACAGATCTGCCATGGATTGGGCCCAGGGAACCGCTGCGTATTTCCCACCAGAACGTCATGGCCAACTGAGAAGGAAATGAGCTGCCCGAAAAGCGGACCGAGGCCTGGCCCGCGACTGGTCGAATAGTTTGCCAGCCATCTCTATCTGAGCCTGAGTCTGGAGCTAGGCAGGGTCCCCCCCTCTGGGACCGATCCGACAAGTCTGGCTGCTTGTTGCCACCCAGCCACATATTTCGGGTGCTACAGCACAGCTGCCGTACAATCGAGTACGCAATTATCCTGCTGCATTAGCATCAAACAGCCCAATGGCGGCTTTACACGATGTCAACACACGCACGGGTGGCAGGGAGCGAGCACCCTTTACATACTGTACGTGCAGCAAACCGCAGCCATAGTCTCAGGCGGGCGGCACGCCAAGCTGGCCAATGGCACCCCGAGTGCGCAGCTCCCCGAACAACGACGGGCCCTCAAGTCTGGCCAGCAAATAGCCAGAGCGCGACAAGATCGAGAGTAGCCCTCCCCCAGCCATCTCTTGTTTTGCGCTGCTGCAGCTAAGACTGCATGTGCATCACAAAAGTGGGCGCTTGATAGACCTCCTCCAGCCGGTATTGGCGAAGGAGGATAAACGATGGACAGAGATGCAGCATCAGCTCGGACGGAGCCTGCCCTCCCTTGATAAGCCCAAACTCTTTCCCGGTGGCGCCATACGAGTGCGGCACATGTTGCTGGCAGGTCTATCAGTATTACCAGACTCAATGGCACGGCACGGGCTGTTCCCAACCTCTCTCGCTTGCTGTCTCGTCTGTCTCGCTCGCTCAGTCTCTCGCCCGCGGTCTGCTGGCCCCCATAGCCGATGAGGCTGGATCGGGGAACCCTCTAGGCCAGGAACCAGTCGCGCCAATTGCTGGCCAAAAGGCAAAGAGGGAGGCCACAGTCGCGCTTAAAATTGGGTCGGAGCTGACCACACCAATACTTACTGTATGGGGAGCTACCGCAGCTACTACGGGGTACTACAGGTACTAGATTACATTACCGGTTTATTACTGCCACTAGTGGCAGAGTAGCCATGAACATCAATCGCCGAGCCTGACTGGTCAATCAGCGGCCGATTCAGGGGGACGCAAGGGAAGCAGGGAAGCAAGGAGGCTGGGGAGCTCTTGGTCGCCCTTGGGGTCCCATCCGCTTACCGCTGGGTTGCAGCATTCATGTCCGAAGAGTCCACTGGCGACTGGAGACTCTAGTACGCCTGAGACGCAGCCTCGGGAAACCAGTGGACGAGATGCCTGCTGAGCTTGCTGAGCTTGCAGGGGAGTTGGATGAGGTTGGCTGAATGTGGAGACGATGGCGGAGACGAGAGGCCAGGATACGACAGAACTAAGCCGCTTGTGATGGGAATAAACAACAACATGGCCAGTCCCGGTGGCAGGTAAACATGGAGGCCCGATAGGCTTACCCTCCTTGGCAACGCAACACAGCGAGCACGCCCTCAATCGCAGGCCTAGCCCCCGACCTCAAAAGCCCATCGAGCGTCGTTGCTTCTGATCCGCCATTCCTTCCCTCCAATAATCTCAATCGCCCACCAGAAACAAAGGAACAAAGACAGAAAAGACTCTCAGAGGTATCCAATCCCTCTCTCTTTTCTCTCTCTCTTCGACTTTTGTTTCAGGAACAAAAGCTTGAGGATCCTTCTTGTCTTCCTTTCGTGATTTTACGGAAGGTTGTATGAGAAGATTCTCTCGCGTCAGCGCAAGCCGTCAACCTGGACTTTGAAGCCCGAGTTCCCGTGCCCTTTAGCATCTTCCCGTCCACTTATAAGGACAACGAAGCAGCACGCCCTCAGACTCAAATCACAACTCACGAGGAGGTTCAACTAACCCTCCCTCAAAAGAAGCCAGCCGGACGGGAGGGTCAACTCTCTTCTTTCCCCCCAAGCACCGACCTAGCTCCTCCTCGCGTCGAACAACGCTTTGAAGAAGAGGTCCGTATCACTCGTGAGGAAGAACGTCACCGCCGTCCCGGTTCCCGCCAGTCCGAACGCTTCGTAAAGGAAGAGTTCCGGTAAGTTGATATCTATTTCTTTGCTCTTTTACGATTTTCTCTGCCCTTTTTTTTCTGTCCCTTGCGGTGTGAGCCGCCGAGGGAGGAAAAAGGGGGAAAGGGAGCGAGCGGCCATGGGGACCCCGAGTGAGCAAAAGCAAAGACCGCCTGCCAGCGCGGCTGCTGAAATTGCCCTTCGTATTCTCCTCGCAGCTTGTGCCGCGGCTTCTAGAACGCGTCAATTGCGAGTGGAGATGAGAATGGGCACGGGGAGGGCGGCGGAGCTCACTATGGGGAGCTGACAGCCGGGGTGGGAGTTCAGCTAGGGTTCCCAGCCATGCTATTTTATCCCGGCTCAGGGGTGCCCGGGCCCACAGGTGTTGGCCCAGAGACGAAGGAAGCTCAAGCACAAAAGGGAATCTCTCCAACTAACTCGAGTACTTTTAGACCTATCCCACCTCCTCCTCGCGACTACACTGAGACTCAGGTCAAAGTTGATTCATCTCGCCGCTTCTCCAACCCCATTGACGTTGCTGAGCGTGAATACCGAGAACGTTTCCGTCCTCAACAACCCGAAGCTACTACCGGTCTTGAACTAGTTCAAGTCCGTCGTCCTCATCACCAGAAGTCAAAGTCCTCTCACAAGGTCTCTGACATCACCGTCGACGAGCGTGTTTCCATTGCCCGTCCCAACTTCCGTGAGGATATCAAAATCACTGAGGAAATTCGCGAGTCTACTCCGTATCCTTCCGAACAATCAGCCAAGATGGGTTACTACGACGACGAAGGTAAGCTAATACTAACCTTTCTTTCTGTTATTACTTTTTCCTTCTTTGTCAGCCAAGCGCGTGCAAGCGTACGCTAACGCGTGTCGCCGGTAGGCTCCTACCACTCCATCCGCCAGGATGTGAAGCATGGCTTGGCCAAGGCTGCCGACAAGCTGCTTCCCCATCACCATCACAACCACCACCACCATCATCATCACAGTGACAATAATAACACTACCATTACAGAGCATGTTGAGGTTGATGTTGTCCGCCACGATGCTAATTCTTCTTCGCGCCGCCCAGCTCCTGCCACCGAGTCGCAGCCTAACACTGTGTCCATCCCCTGCCACCACATCCGTCTGGGTGACTTCTTGATGCTCCAGGGCCGACCATGCCAGGTCATCCGCATCTCGACCTCGTCTGCCACTGGCCAGTACCGCTACCTTGGTGTTGACCTCTTCACCAAGCAGCTGCACGAGGAGTCTTCCTTCATTGCCAACCCCGCCCCCAGCGTTGTTGTCCAGACCATGCTCGGCCCTGTCTTCAAGCAGTACCGTGTCCTCGACATGGCTGACGGCTTCGTCACTGCCATGACCGAGACCGGCGATGTCAAGCAGGGTCTGTCTGTCATTGACCAGTCCAACCTTTGGTCTCGTCTCCAGCAGGCTTTCGAGTCTGGCCGCGGCAGCGTCCGTGTCCTCGTCCTCAACGATGGCGGCCGTGAGCTCGCTGTTGAGATGAAGGTCATCCACGGCTCTCGCTTGTAAACAAGCTATGCTTTGTTTTCAGGAAGGGTTGTCCATCCATCCTATGGATATTCCAGGCTCGGTTCTAGTCTGAATAATGTGAAATATACCCCATGGGCTTGGAGGGTGCGCGGAACGGATTGTCATTTTTGGATCGGTTAGGGTTGTATTTTGGTTATGAGGCAGAGTGCCCAGTAGATAGGATCTACCTATATGCCGCACTGTAATTAAGATGGATTTTGCATAATGTCTTGTACCCTACTATCTCTTGGTGATTCCATCGTGATGTGATTTGAGACCCTGCCTTGTCGCGTACTGCCTCCAAAACGCGTAAACAACTTCCCTGCGTGTATCATTCAGGTACCATCAACCGGCTGAATGGTCATGGGATACATGGGGAAACCCCACAACTTAGTACACGATGGCTGGTTTATGAGAGCTGATAGCGCTTTATGCTCGGCCCCACCGTGCCCGACGTGTGGCTCTCTAACTTGCCCAAGCTACCCTATACCCAGTATTTAACATTCGTGGATCTTTTATTTTCGTTACAGATACCAGTGCCTTCAAACAGGTGGTTAGTATTGGCCGGCGACAGAGAAATAATGACCTTGATGGTCAAGTAATTGTAAGCAGGTGCCCTAAGTTGGGGGACGGTACGTGGAAATAGCCAAAAGCAGGTAGCGTGGCAAAAGAACCAATCTGTAGGATTATAGCCGACAAATGATAGCCCGCGATTTCACACTTATAGAGAGGGGAATGAGGGGGAGAGGCCGGATAAGCAAAAGTGTATGCAGATGATCCATGTCTGTGAGATAAGAAGCTGCTCCAGCGTTACGTCGCCTCGCGGGTCGTGTGCCGAGAGTTTGCTACTTCAGACGTATATCCTGACATACATACACTTGAGAAGCCATCTTCGGTGAGAG